AAATTTTACTCATAAGTTCATAACAATTGGTATTAAAACTAGTTACCATGCAAGTTTAGGATCAAAGTAGTGTGAGTTGCGGCTCTGTAGTCGAGTCACGAAAAAGGCGACTTATAGGTTGGATTAAAGATAGCTTGGTATTATGTGTGGGCATTGTATTAACTTATTGAATACTGATATGTGAGTAGAGTCATTAAAGAGAAAGGGCTTCCATTGGATGAGTGTCAATAGAGTTGGTCGCTATAAACGTTAGCTATGGAAGCGTCGTGGAATGTTATGATCCCACATTAGTTAAAAATAAGATTAAATGTGTGTATCTAAACTCTTATATGCCTTTCTCTTGCGAGCCAATTTTCGAGGACAAGTTCTGTCCACAGGTCGGATGTGAACTGATGGGTATTTAAGTTCTTACACTGATTTCGACCATACTCACCCAGGTAAAACAAAACAAATTATAGACATTTAAGGAAAAATATAAGAGTACTAATCATTTTCCGTGTCTGAAGATACGAAGTAATAAAAAAAAATGGTCAACAATAAACATATTTATGTTAACACCTAAAATCAAATTACAAAAATAAATGAGAGAGAAATTTAAACACCGATTTTAGTGAGGGCAAGCGGTAGTAGTGGTGGTGGTGAGAAACGGTAATAGTTGGGATGAGTGATGATAACTGATAGTGATAATGATAACCGTGAGTGACAATGTTAATGGTAGTGGTAGGACGGTGGGGATAGTGGTGATGGTGGGACAGTAGCGACAGTGATAGTAGTGGTGGTAGTGGAGATGGTGGTGGTGGTGGGGCACCGGTGGGGTGGTGGTGATGGGGTGGCCACAACAATAGTGGTGAAATAACGATGGTGGTGGTAGTGTGATAATAGTAATGCGATTCCAAATACTACTTTTTTTTTTTTAAATACTTACAAAAAATTATGAGTTCTAGAAACATTTTTAAAAAATTACCCCTAACATACCCTCAAGGTCCTATTTTTTCTATTAAATTTGAGATATTAATATTAGACGTCAGATTAAATTTAAAATAAAATTTAAAAAGATATCAACCGTAAAAAATAAAAATCATTTTGTTTATGTTTTGAAATTTGAATTGTATTATACTTTATTATATAGATGTAAAACTGAGAAAGTTTACTCATTTCACATCAACTGAACAACATTTTAAGACACAAAATTGCGACTTGCTAGTAGAGTACAATTGAAGCTTTCCTCTAATTGCTTAATAAATGAAACACAATCACCCTATCCACAATTAAAGTGTGTCCTCATTACAATCAATAGCCCAATGCTGCAAAACTCAATTGCCATGGAGAAGTATAAAACAGATAGACACAAGAACTTTTTGTTTTTTAAGAACGACCAAGACAAACCTTTACATTTTCAGTGTCTTTTCCTTTTGGAATCCAAGGAAGACCCATCTTTGAGCGTTTCCCAGGCATCATTTTCCATTCCCAGGCTAAAGAGGGCAGTGGCTTGAAGATAGAAGGCAGTGGGCCAATCAGGAGATACTGCTTGGGCTTTCATAGCATCTCCAAGAGCTTCTTGTGGCTTGTCGTTCATCAAGTAACACAAACAGCGTCTTGCAAACACAGTGGGTGATACCATGTTTCCACCGTCAATAAACTGTAGAAAATGTTTAAAAAAAAAAAGATTACCATAATAGTTATACTTGCCCCGTGATATGTATATCTACATGTATAATCTCTATATTCAGTAATTCTATGACGCTTATTGAAGGTCAATAGAATGCTTTACTTTCTATCCAAGAAAACCAGAAACAGGGTACTGAGAAAATATTCTGGCCCTCAACTCATAAGCATCCAAGGGGATCTTTTGGGAAATAAATAATTTGCAGTCTGCTGAGCATATTCCTATGGTGTCATTATGGATGTTCCTCCCCTTTTTACGCACCGAAACATGCAGGCCAAGATAGTCTTGTATGCATTTCAGGGTGTTCCAGACAACGAAACCACATCTCATTATGCCGAAATGATGACAATTATCAAAGCAATGTACATGTGTGGAAGCATATAGTGTAAACAGCCACAACGACAGTAGCTTTTGCAAAAGTCATTGATACACGCTTCGACAACGGAATTGCCCTGTATTCCAGTTCTATTTGTGTCACAGTGGCTGTATTCTATTTGTGTCACACAGAAAAGCCACTAAAATATAAGTGTCGTTACAGTGGATGACTTACTTGTGTGTAACAAGCAATGGCAGCAGAGAAGTCTTTAGCTCGAAAAGCAGTATCCCCGCGCTTCTTAGAATTTAAGGTCTCCTGTATTTGACTAGTCCACATGTGGAATGAAAGCTACAAATTCAAAAGAAATTCAACAAGCAGAGTACAAAAGAGAGAAATAGTCGAGTTTAGTGAAAACAAATCGCAGATTGAATGCAACCACTGATAAGTCGACATGTATCCGTTGCCTACTGCATATAAAACAAATGCACATAGCAAGAATGCATCTTAATTTGGCAGGCAGCCTTCCCAGTACAATTCTTCCAGGAGTATTACTCTGGCCTGACTAAATGGTGAAATCCTACATGAAAAGAGTGCTACACAGTTGAGAAAAAAATAGAACACAATTTACAACCATATTTTTCTAATTTCTTAGAATCTTCCTTAATATAGGGCGTCTAGCTTACCAGTGAAGGCCTGCCAATATGGGGTCCTTTGATGAAGGAATTGTGAACATTCTGGTTTTGATATAAAATTAAGGAACTGAGGTTGTTATACTCATCAACTAAGCCAAACTGCAGTCTGGTGTGCAACATACAAATCTTAAAACATCAATTAAATAAACTATCGTCACAATAAAAGTTGCTGGGTAGATAAGATTTTTAACCTTTTCAGTTAGAGAAATAAACTAGTTGTCTGTTCATATTTGTAAACAGTTGAAAGTCGAAATTACTGAAGTCTATTCCAATTATCTGATAACTTTCAGAAACAAGCACTGATGGCTTGATTTTCACTCTTCCTAGTTAGCAATTTTTGATTCAAAAATTTAAGAACAGAAAATTACAAACATGAAATTATGGTTAAACAACAAAATGGAGCAAATTAGAGCAGAAGTGGAATCAAAACTGCCACATCCACATTCGTAGAAATGCAGCAATGTAGATGGAAAATAGTCCTAATAGACAGAAAAATCATTTGAAAACATGAATTGCTTTTGCAGGCAACTGCACAAAAAGATCTGGAAAAGATCAAATAGCTTCAGGATAATCCACTTCAATGTTCCCAATACGTGTGTGCGCGTGTGTGACTGTGAGAGAGAGAGAGAGTGAGAGAATCCCCCCTTCCCTTCCCTTTCCCTTTCCCTTTCCCTGCGGATGTGGGGCCCTTTGTTGAACTAGAACATGAATTTAGGAATGAGAAAACTAACATCATTTGCTACGCCCTCATCATCCTTGTACCCAATGGTCTCCAATATCTCGTGTATGGCAGTTAGATCCTTTCTTGAGCAAGCTTCACCAAGAGGCGTTAATTTTGATGTTTGGGTTGAAGAAGCAGATTCATGAATAATACCCATCAAAACATGTGATTGTACCTGTTAAACACCTTTTGATTAGATACTATATCCACTTCTAAGTTAAATACGCAAGGAAGTCTGTTAATCAGATCTATGCTTAGCAGTATAAGACAGTGAATTCAGCAACAAATGTTGATTGACATAAAGGTTTTCTACTATCTTCACTAAAGAAACCATTGACCATTTACATTCTCCAATGATGACAGCTTCGCTGCTGACTTATTGGCAAACATGTAGTAAATAAAGGGAAGGGGAGAACCAGAATATGCAGAGCCAAATACTAAGCCAATCAGTATTGCATATGAATTCAACTCTTGCAACACTAAATTGACACTGGCTTTGTTCTCATCATATCAATTGCAGTGTGAACCATACCTCTGTTTCTTTCTGAAGAGAAGCAAGAGCAGTCACAAGAGACCTCACATTTGGCCTGTCACGAGATTCATACTGTAAACACCGTGTGGCTAACCGCACTAATTCACTGCCATCATCATTTGAGAAGTGACCCTCTAAACACGAGTCCATCAGCATCAGAAAACTCTTTCCACGTATCAGGTCAAGTGCCTGCAGATAAGATAATAAACATAAGACATGCCACGGGAGTTGAGAGTTCAAATGTTCAGTTTGAAAGAATTTTAGCTAAGTATTCTCAGGTATTAAACGCTGAGAATCAGCTTCATTAACATGGCCTCAACTGCAGGCAGAGCCCCAGGAATTTTTTCTCTCACAACTTTTTTGGATGTGCACAGCGGAAATGTGCTCGTTTTTCTTGACGGAGCAGCTTTTACAGATCATGAAGAGATTGATATAATAAAAGAGACTTATTACATGGCTGGGGGGGATATGTTTGCCACTGAGAAGATCAAGCAATAGGGTCCCAAAACTGTATACTACACTCTCCAGTGTCACTCGACCTGCCAAACCAAAGCAATTAGGTTAGCTCCATCCTAGTAAAATAAATACATGTACTGTTGTTATCATCTGATTCAAACAATTCCATGTAACATTTACCTTTTTCTATGGTGCATTTTCGTAAAAAGAGAACTTAAGACCTCAAACATGAAAAGCTATAGGCAGTTACCCCATACATGTACATTTGGAGGCCAGTATCGGACTATACTTTTACACCAATACATAAAATTGCTGTTTTATTAGAATTGAGAAAAGCAAAATACAAAAATTATCATCTTATCTCTAGCTTAAGCAGTTCAGATTTTCCCTGCAACTGGACCATTTTCCGAACCATCTGACCATCAAGGTATAGTAAAATGAGATACCTTTTTTGGTGAGTATTTGCTATACCTGTCCTCAAATATTCTGGAGGAGTGAAAGCCAAGTTTGTACTATAGCTTTTCCCATCCCGGCTATTCTTCATTAGGCCAAAGCAAGAGAGCCTGGGATTTCCATCCTGGAAAATGCTGACTTAAAATAAGTAGTAGACCACAAAGATAGTTGAACATCTGATCAAGGCAACAAATGGCAGAAAGTGAAAAGACTAGACAAGGAAAAAGAGGTGAAAATACCTGATCGAATAGAACTCTATAAGCATTGAGGTCATGATACAGTGCTCTCCCTTTACTGCTGCAATAATCCAATGCTTGTGCCAAATACAGAGCCACTCTCAACCTCATTGCCCACTTCAGCGGCTGGGTCTCCCCTAAATCAATTCAAGTTACCTATTACAGCCAAGGTAACTTTACAGGATAACGAACACACATGTTGGGATATATCTAAACTTTTACGGAATTAGAAAATAAATTAGTATACTTGTTGTATTGAGCCTCATTACACTTATAACTCTACTAAATATGTAAGTTGCTAGGAAAATTGAAAAAACAACATTGTACCAGTATCTTGGATTCTTGTTATTTTAGTTACCTAGCAACTTACATATTTAGTAGAGCTGGAGATGCTTAATTACTTCCTATACTAAGTCAAGCAGATCTAGAGCTGGAGAATGGGAGATGCTTAATTACTTCCCTTCACTTCATCTTTATAGCAACTGTAGAGAACTTTAAAACATTTTTTAAGCACATTTGTCACCTTTCCTAAAATATATCTCAGTAAAGTGCAATCAAGTCTTCCTTCAACGTTTAGAAACAGAACTTGAAGAAAAAGAGCAACTGATGGAACTTACAATGGAATAAATGCTTGGAGAGAGTTTCATGAGGCATGAACTCCGCAATGAGTAACCTCTCATCACCTTCACAACAACACCCAATCAAGTTCGCCAATCTCTCACTCCTCAGCAGCCCCACCGCCCTCGCCTCATCCTACATTTAATCTACATTCAATCAATATAAAACATACCCCCATATTCACACAAGTAAAGATTCACATGTGCTTTGTGTGTGTGTGTGTGTGTGTGTAGAAATGGATGAAAGCAAGGGCACAAACAAGGAATTGGCGACTATCGGGCCAGGCAGACTTGTTGAAGCGTTTTACGGCAATCCAACGGTGGTCGTGAAGCCTGCCTCTGTACACAACATTGGGGGCTTTCTCACCGTGTTCCGATACAATGTTGTCAACCGAGAATCCTGAGGTCGCAGCCTTTAGTTGATCCAAACTGTATTCTCTGAAAACAGGCAAACACAGCCCCTGATCTTCCCCGGACTTCTCTGGAACAGAAAAACCAAGAAAGCCAAAAGTTTCGAAATTGTATACAAATTAAAAAATGAGGATCTAAGTGCAAAAATTTTTGTGGAAATACAAAAAGATTTGTTGTACCGAGATCGGAGGAATGAGGGACGTTGGATTTGAGATTGGAGGGCCACCAGCAGAGAGAAAATCTGGAGCAACGAGCTCCCATTGCTAAAGAAAATGTGCAAGTTTAAGATAAAGCAATCAGGTCTGAGTCTCTCTCTCTCCAAAACTACAGGGTCTCATTGGAGAGAACTGGGCAGAGAAAACGGAAGAAAAAGACCGGAGAGAGAGAGTGAGAGAGGGGAAAACAAATTGAGGGCAAGTGAGGTATTGTTTATATTATTAGGAACGAGAAAGAGAGAGAAAAAGCAGAGAAGCTTTTTGGATCCCAGTCCAAGGTTTCTCTCCCCTCTCTTACTCTCCCCTGAAAATGAAATTTCACCTTCGTAATCGTAACCTTTTTTCTGTCTCTCAAACTCTTCAATCTCCCCGGAGTATTTGCTTTTCTCTTTCCAATGTCATGTTTTTTTTTTTTTTTCCTTTTGGCGCCTTTCCTTCTGATTTTCCGGTGTCTGTGGTGGATGAGGAAAAATGTTATTTGAATTTAATTTGAATATTTAATTTAAAATAATAATTAGATTGAAAATAAAATTTATTTAAAATTGAAATTTATAACTAATCGGCTCTAATGTGGAGTTACAATTCTTTCGGTAATCTGATTAAAAATAAGTCATATATTATCATATACTAAAATATTCATGATGGATAAATCTCTTATGGTCTAATTTATGTGATTGTCCGTATGAATATATAATTCGTCTCTGTTATCATTTGAGTTCCTATTGGAGTTAGAGTTTCAAGATTTGGCCGGCAAATATGTGTTGAATCTTACCTCGAACATGATAGAGATCAAATTTGGGTAGGGCTATTAATTAAATTGAGCTACTCGAACTTGACTTGTTCAAGTTCGGTTCGTTTTCTAAACGAGTCGAACTTAAACAATTTTTAAAACTCGATTAACAAACACACTTTTTAAATTCGATTCGAAGTCGTTCGACTAACAACCTAAATTTAGGTATTAGGTATGGGATTAAGAAACTTTAATGTTATTTGGCCTTTTGGTACAAAAGTGATCGGTGACACATGGTATCAAAGTTGATCAAAAGTTGTTACTGTCTACCTAGCTGGGCTTCGTAAAAAATCAAATAGATTTTGAACTTTATAAGCAAAAACATCAAAATACAAGTAACCCTGATTTTATTTTATTTTTTAATTTTTGGGATTTATCAGTTGTTCATTTTGAAATTAAAGTATTTTAATATTCAATATTTTACGCGCTAAAAAAATCACGTAATGTACCAGTTTTAATTCAGATACTTGTCGATCTCTAACTATGCACACTCATAATAGTTAAAACTAACTCAAATGCATAGCATTTACATCATCTAATTTAAATGGATCAAAATTCACAATACAATGTGCAAGGGTTACTATCTCTTTGTTCATGATGTATTTGACATCTAATCTAGGAGTGAAATTGGAGAAATTGAGTGGATAATTGTCAAATCAGAGCATCATTGATTAGTAGTCAAAGTCAAAAGAGGGAAATTCAAATGGCCCAGCGCAGTCCCTATTCCCTACCATGTTACCGTCTGTCACTAATAAGTTTCGTTAAAAGTTTGAATTTAGTAATGATGAAACTATGTTGAGTCCTTATCATCATATTCCTCTGAAAAAATAAAAATAAAAAATAAAACAGTCTTCCCCACTATATGTGCAATAATTGTACATTATTATGGCTTCATTTTGACTACAACACTACACATCGTTTTCTATCACTTAATGCAAGCTCTTGTGACTGTTGGGCCCCACTTAAATATATGTAAATTTAATTTAAAAGGTAATTTAAATAATAATAAGAATGATATATAAATTTAGTAGTTATGAGTTTAAATTCTGTCAATTCCATAGGTCAATTCCTTGAACAATTTATTTTTTATAAATATTCTAAGTCTAACGTAAATAGTTTATTTTTAATTAGATCAGAGAAAAGATTAATCGATAATTGTGGTTTATGAGTTGTTTTCTAGATGTTAATCCCAATGATCTTGTCTTGAATGAGTGTTTTATCATTAAAATAATATTCGTGTTGATTCGTATAATCTATTAATCAAAAATTTGACACTAAGATAAGTCTAATTCTACATTATCTCATAATTGAACTCACACTCATAATTTTTTTATAAACTAAAAATTAACTTGATAAATATAATGATAAAAATAAATAAAAAAACTCTATTTTTGTACATTGTAAATGTTTGACATTAATCCGACTTATTTATTATTTGTGTTAACAAATCGTATCATTTACAAGTTTTGTATCGAAAATTGATTAACACTAATCCATTAATTTTATATCGATTTCCCGTGATATTTACGTGTCGGTTTAGAAATTATGACCCTAGTCTTGCTCAATACAAAAGACAAAGTAGGTTGCAGCCGAATCAAATTTCTGGGTAGTGGGTCAGCAAGCTCAGCCGTATAGGCCTTGTTTTTTAATCTGATCTGCGGCTGTGTTGGACTGAAGTGCCCGGAATAGGAGGAAAAGGTGGGCATCAGTAAGATATGCCTCGAATGATGGATGAAGCAAAATGTCTTACACTTGGGGTGCTTCCTTTCTTGACCCGTTTTCCAGCTCAACTCACACTAGCATATAAATATGATTTTTAAGTTTTGATGAGCAGAACAGTCATTCATCATTTTCATCTGCTCTTGACCTCGCAGGACCCTTTGTCATCACCACTTTGAAAATAGTATGACTGAAAATGGGGCCTCTTTGCCATCATCAACTGCATCCACCACCCTATTTAACAACATTTCTCACTTTTATGACTTGATGTTTAGAATTTATCCTTAAAGATTAGCTTGTAAGGGAATTCGATTTATATTCACATATATAGTCTTATTTTTAAACCGACGTAGAATCGTAACATTTTATTATATTTTCATAGCCGATGTACACGATGGTCCATTATATCAACACTAATTCAATGGTAGCTTTTTTTTTTTACGGCTCTACTCACTTATCAGTATTTAATGAGATAACATTATGTCATACATAATACCAATTATCTTAATTCAACATATAGGTCGTCATTTCTATAATTCGACCACATAGGTCCGCAACTCACATTTCGTTTGATCTCATACTTAATGAGTTGGTTAGCTTTGATATCAATTATTATAAATCTATGAGTTAAACTTACCCCTGAGACAAGGAAGCAAGGAAAAGATGCCCAAGAATTTGTATACACATATAATCTTATTTTTTAATTAATATGAGATCGTAATAGTCACAGGCATTTTAGTCTCACCACTTCAAAATAGCTGTAAAAATAAGGAAGGAGTAAATTACAATTTACACACTTAAAAGAATGTAACTAATTTCTATTTGGTACTTGAAGTTTCGATTGCAATAATCAAGTTCGTAGAATTTTAATTTAATCCTTATGTCAAAATCTACCAAATGATTATGACAAAATAGTCTTTTATTACAAACACATGCTTTGGGTAAAAGAGTATATTTGTTACATAAAAAAATATGTTACGTGTAGGCTAACAAATTTTATTTTATGTTATCTAATTTTAAAGAAAAAAATAAAAAAATCGAAAAAAAGATATAATGTGAGAATTTGAAAGATATTGTGAAATAAAAGAGAGAAATATGGATATATTTAAAAAATATATTTTTTATAAGACAAATATACTCTTATGGACAATTCCTATAACGTTTCTTTGCCAAACAAATATCATGTAATTGCATAATTCTTGTCTAAACTTTGAACAGTTGAGGAATAAATTTTGCTTATTCTATTTATTAGTTGTTGTACACGTGCGTTGCACGTGGACCATTTCAAACATCAAATATTACTCATTGTACATGTTAAAAATCATGAACTCCAATAAATCATACAGATTAATGTCTTTATCAATTTTTGTAGACAAATTTTTGAACTCTCTTGCTAGTTAGATGTCGGTTATAAGTTAGGTAGTATATATTATTTAGTATTCATGAAAAATAATTAAGCAGATAGTCAATAACTAAGAATTAGAATCAATAGTTCACCGATAAACGCATGATTTGGATAACTTCAACAAAACCAAAAGGAGAATTATCACATGTTGATTTAGGTAATTCAAGAACTCTTCATCTTCAAGTTTGAATATTTTCAATTTGCTCTTGGACCCTGTCTTGCTGCATCCTTTTTATCTCAAGAACTTTACTCTGACTTTCTACTTCTTGGAGGAGATATTCCTTACCTCCAATTGAGCGTTTGAGCTTGTCATCATCTTCTCCGACTATTGCATGAGTATGTTGCATGGATGATAACTATTGTTGTTGCACTTTTATTACAAAATCAATCAAACATTTTTTTTTTTTTGCCATGACTTAACAGATGTAAATTAACTTAATAATTTAAAAGAGGAATCATGCAACTCAACTTAAGCAGAGTGTTCTTTTAATTGAATTTAATTATCTATAATCCAAGTTTGTTGTCACTTCAAACTGCTTAAGTGGTTAGCAATAGCAAAATAAGAATTGTACCCAAAGAGAAGTTTAGTGTTGTTTTGTTAACATTTATATATATTAAAAATTTTATATAATTTCATCATTACCCACACAATAGAATACAAAAATAACTCTTGACTTATGACAAATTTTTAGCCAAATAAAATTCAATATCTTCTGTTAACCAAGATTAAAGAAAAAATTAATAGTTGATTATAGGAAAAGAGAAGTTATATAGAGAACATCTGTAATAGTTTATAATAGCAAAATTAAAGGAGAAGGGAAGTAATGGAGAGAGTCTCTCTCTTAAAAGACAAATATATAGCTAATTAGACATCTTAATTGATGTCTCATTCGTAAAATTTCTAATATTGGTCAATTGGTTGAGTTTATTGATGTCTAAACTTATGAATGTATCCTGGGAAACTCGATCGATTTGACCGAGTTTCCTATGTTACAAATAAATCAAGATAATATCTTCATATTTGTTTTTGGCTCTCTTCCATTCGTAATCATATGATTTTTTCATCAAATTCTATTTGATTTTAAATAACTGGTATTCATTTTAATAAATAATTCCATCATCAAAGTACATAGTTTATTTTATAAAAGTACTACAATCACTAACATTCAAATTTACTTACTTTTTGCATAAAAATTCAAATTAGCTTCCACTTAAATAGACCTAATATTACAACTACGTCTTTTTTTGGAAAGTAATATTACAATTACCTCATTAAATAGAGAATATAAGAATTGATATTTAATTTTATTGAGTTGGGAATCTAGAAATCAACTTCCAAGTTTTTGGCCAGTCTTGTATTTTTTCAACAACTAAATGGAAGTATTGATCATAAAAAATTGAAAGCTAAATTATCTACTTGTGCAAGTAGAATGACAAATTTTTTTTTTTTTGAAATGACAATATATAATGCATAGTTTAGTTTAAGGTATTAACCACTTTACCTTAAGATTATGGTTTGAAAATCTACTCAGGTCACATCTAGTTGGAGATATTTAAATTTGCACCTAGTATACTCACTGAATTAGTTATAAGTAAAACCCAACAATTGATCGTGCATTCAGAATTTGTAGGGAAAAAAATCAAGAATCAAGTGTGAGAAGGAAAAAGATTACCATTAATTTGTAAACAAAATATATATCTATGGACACTGGAATATGATAAAATTCAAAAATATAAGATGCATGTATGTCAAAGATACAACTAATTAAAATAATATAATATATTTTTAGACAATAATAAAATTAGAATATATTAAAAATACAACATATTTTATAATATTATTAATAAGAAGATCTAGCAAATATTATTATTTTTTGATTAAAATTAAAATAGATCAAAATAAACATCCATAATTTTCACCAAACATCATTACATACATTATCATTCATACTACATAAGTTTCATAACAAAAAACACACATAAAAAACACATCAAGCTACAATTATTTAAAAAAAAAAACATTGGTCGTGTTCGACTAAACTTATTATTCAGGTCACTTTTAGCTGTGTCAGACACATGTCTAGTAGTGTCCAACACTGTAACGACACCCTCGAGAAGTATACATGCTTTCTAGCTTGCAGCTGACTTACTATTTCAATTTACTATTATTATGTGATGTGTCTCACCAATTAATGGGATATCGCAAGCTTCCATTACCCAAAAGTGACAATTTGGATTATTTTTTTATTATATTCCTTGTGTGTCGTGTGGAACATCTGGCCAAGGAAATAAAGAAAGATAATATATTAATAAACCTAATTGATGTAGACACTATATATAATTTTAAACACAAATTAATATCAGCCCCTTTTAATTATATGCTCAGAAGAAAAAAAAAACATAAAGATTTTAAAATTGTATGTAGTCCATAATTGCCTATAAAAACTCATGTAGGATCACCTAGAGACACAAAAAATGTTAAGTATACGCAGTCTATGAACAAAAGTGAGTGTTAAAGTTTGATTACACCAGGAACAAACCTGTCCCTTAAAGTTCCTTGAATGCCAATTTTTTCGAGTGAGCTCTCAAAATCAAAAGAGTAACTCGCATTAAAGATTTAATTGTAACATTCATAAATTCATTCTTTCTAATGTTATTGAGTACCACCTAAAAAATTTTCGGAGCCATCAAATTATAATTAGCACCAGAGAATGGTGAAATTGGACACTTGATTGTCTAAGTTTATATTCAAAATTGTTCAGAATATACCAATGAGCAACAAGAATGAAATGTCATAGTAATATCAACAAATATCAAAACCATTAAGTGCCCTAGATCATGGCCTGTTTCTATCAAGTTGCTGAACTTGCGTCCGAGTAAACCTGCACAATAATATCAAAGAAATCGAACAAGGAGATTAATCAAAATAGGAATATAAACTATTACCAAAGATATCAAGAGATAAACTGCTACATGTAAAAAACAATTAAAGCTAAATATTAGTGAACCTCGAGTTAAGAACACGTTGAATGTCATCTAATGAATTGTCAATGATTTCATATCCATCAGGAAGGCAATAAACTTTATTTGTTTGAAGATTGTGTAAACCTGGTGTCCTACTTCAAGGTTATGAGTGCATGCATGCGATTTTTGGCATCTTCCTTGATAATACTTTCCACAGACCAAATACGCATAAACATTCAAATTCAAAAGAGAAATAGAACAAAACTTTTTGAAATCAAAATCCAAAACTTGAAACACAAAAAGTTATAAAAGTCAAATGCATCTGCAAATAAAAACACATAAAGCCACTACCACCTCATGAATAATAAGATGCGCTCAAAAAAAAATTCAGTAAGCTCATGAAACAACTTCTTCCTCTTGGAATTCTCGGCCATTGTATTCTCTTCTTCTTCTCTCTTTGTTTTCATTCTATTCACATATAGTCCAAAAGTTTGGTGAGTTGAAACTAATTGGAGGATCGATAAGATTGTGCACAGATGTCCACAATTTGATGCAACAAAGAGCCAAAATTTTGAAATAACAAAGCAAAGAAATGAGAGAATAAAAGACAAAGAAGATGATCGAGAACAATACTTTTTGTATCAACTGAAAAAGATTTATTTGTTGTGGGAGACAATGAGTTGTAAACGTTTTAGGGTTAATTTAAAGAAATTAAATATAATTAGATGATCGTGCACTTACATTGTTTGTTGAACAATGCAGCTAATCAATTTGATGGTAAAGGAAGATCAAAAGACATAGTGGATATGATTGATTTTATACCAATAGTTAAGGGTAAAAATGAAATATAAATGTTTTTCATATATCCTCACTTTTTAAGAAATATATATATAGATATAGATATTGATTGAATAAGACAATGATTTTTTCTCATTCTTCCTCACCTTATTGTTCCCTCTCTGCACTTTTTCATATCTATGTAGATTAGATCTGTAGTGCCAATCCAGCCAACACAGTTCCTTAATGTCCCTTACCAACCTGGATGGAACCATGGCCTATCCTACTTTTTTTGGACATCTTATTATGATGTTCAACATTGACCTATGGTTTGACACTTCCAAAACCCTTGCATTGGTGATCTTCAAACTGAAAAATGTTCAGTAACTTTCTTTAATATTAAACAATCATCTATACCAAAAGTATAAACTGTTGAAGAGGATATAATTAAATTGGTGACGAGATTCGAATAGAAATTCTCCTACTTTAATACTATGTTAAACAACCATCTATTTCAAAAGATTAAGCTGTCAGAGATGTTATAACTTAAGTATTTAACTTTAACAGACCTTCATCACAGATCCGAAGTTGAGAGAGCACAACTTCAGATTATTCGAGTTCTAGCAAAAATTGAAATCCAAGAATGACTAGGAATTCTCTACTGGGTATCTTAATGCTATTTTGCTGATTACCACCTTAACCAAAAATGCTTTGTACTCCTAACATGGTTCATAAAGAATTGATGCACTGATAAAAATCAAGTAGCTTTGCCATATATTGAGCTTGAAGCATCGTGTGTGTGTGTGTGCATATATATATTTTCAAGGTTACATGGGAGGAAGGAGGACGTCCAAGTTTAAGCCCACAAGCTTAAAGTCCAACAGCGGAGGTGATGGCCTTAGGCCAACCACTACCCTCAAGCTTTAAGAATTATAGGATTGCAAAACACCATCCAATCTCAGGAAATGCAGACTCATATAATGAAGATAGTTTATTTTCAAGCTGGCTTGAATTGCTTCTTTTTTACACACGAATAATGCAAAATTACAATTTCCCAGGTATCTTTCCTCTGCTCATGTAGCAAGCCCCAGCTTTCGAGGTCATGCTCCCTGTGGCAGTTCCTTTCCATGGATGACGATGATTGTCTCAAGAACAAAAACTTTATTGCAGGATTCGCAAGCTGCTTTACCCAAATCGCGATGTGGGAACTGTACAATCATGGAACCTTTTCTGAAAACTAGACCCTTCCAACCGGGAAAAGGGGTGGATAAGAGGCGCAGTTTGCAGGAATCTCCATTTGGACTCCTCTCTCAGAAGCTGTTATTCCATCATTTTCTGCTAAAGTGGTTTCTTCAGAATACTTCTCTTCAAACAAGTTTCTCAATACTGAAAGCTCAGATGGTTTCCTACTGTTTAAAACTGCAATACAAATCGAGAATGCTTGAAGAAGCGAGACTGATGAGTTGAATTCAACCGAAAAGATCCCATCTTTGAATGTGGACAAACTGAAGACAGACATATTATCTAGGACTTCTTCCTGCTGGAGAAAATAAAAAAAAAGAAATTAGGTAAGTCACAGTAGCAGTGAAAGCTGAAAACCGAATGGGAAATGGATTGGCGTGATTAAAAGACTCTTACCTGAGAAAAAAGCTCAAATCGCTCAGCATTCAGATGATCTTTTGTTGGACTGGATTTCGTACTAAATTGAGTCTGATTGACAAGAACTCTTAGTCGACAACCCAAATCCCAACCTCCACAGTCGCATGACCCACCAGATTTCCATCGTTCAATTAGTGGTGAAGGTTCTCCTTTACTGGGAACTCCATGATCACCACCGGGAAGTATAACTGTTGTGCTAACTAGGTCTTGACTTTCAACAGAAGGCTCCTTTTCCTTTTCTTCCTCATCGTAGGAATTGGGGTCACCTCTGACATCTGGCAATGACTCTCTCAGACCAGTCACTGTTTGATTATTGAAGGGCTTGCACTGTTGCCCACTGCTAATCAAATCTTCAGTAGTCTTTCTCGGAAATTTGATAATGATGGCCGCAAGCTCATCATTTGGCTGGAGGTCAGATATTTGCTGATCAGTCTGTTTTAGGTCCACAGAAAACAAAACAAACTCCCTAACACTAAATTGATCCCCACATTTTTGTCTCATCGCATCTGAGAATGGAGGATCAGAAGCTTTCATTTGTGCAACAACATTAGGGACGTAGCCATGCCCTTTGCCTTTCGCTGCCTGATTTAACCACCTCCCATTCTTTTTCTTCATTTCACGAATGGTGAAGAATGTATAAATCCAGCTATTGTCATTCTTCCTTGAAGAAGTTAGCTTCCTCATTGTGGCTGCTAGAATGTCAGTGTTGTTGTCAACTGCAAAAGTAAAAAGTGGAAGACCATTCTTTACAGCGACTTGTAAAAGAGCTTGCACTGTTGGTGATCCATGTATCTCATTGTTCTGTAGCTCATCAATTTCAATTGACCTACAACTCCTCAAATCTAATTTCGTTTTGATTGCATGGACAGTGGAAGATGGGCTCCGTCCATCAGATGATTTGCAGGTTCCCTCTGTTAACGCTGAATCATTCTGTGATGGCCCGGCAGACTGATGCTGGTTAGCTGCCTTCAGCTTCAGCAATGGGTCCAGCAACCTTCTCAGGGGACTGGACTGGCCCCTACTAGTAGCATTTGCATTATCACAAGTTTTTTCATTTAAGCAAGCAGAAGCTTCATCTCTTTCTGAAGCAGATTTAAATGGCTCCAGCAACCTTCTCAGAGGACTGGACTGGCCTCTACTACTGGCATTTGATTTATCATTAGTTTTGTCACTCGAGCAAGTAGAAGCTTCCTCCCTTCTTGAACCAGATTTAAATGGCTCCAGCAACCTTCTCAGAGGACTAGACTGGCCTCTACTAGTAGCATTTGATTTGTCACAATTTTTGTCAACTAAACAAGCAGAAGCCTCATCTCTTTGTGAACCAGATTTAGTAGCAACATGTTTGGAGCTCAATTGTGGGATAGCAGAACTGTCTCCTGAGCTGGAACTTCCGCCAATCCTACCCATGCCAATGTTAAATCGATGAGTTGGGGAAGGGTTTCTGACTCGAACAGGTGTTACAGTGCCCCTTTTCGGTTCTAGTCCCTCAGAAGACTTGGTTACTGTTGAATTTATAGGCATAACAGGAAACTTCCCTTCCAGGGCCTTCCCTCTGGATGGACTGACGCAAAATTTTGCAGAACACATAGAAGGTTGAGATGGTTCCAAAGACAACTTGTTACTCTTCAAACTTATGAAGGTGGGTGGTTCTATCTGTGAGTGCCTAATGCTGTCCACTTCACAAGGGAGGTGGCATGAGTGTGGGATATCGGAATAGAGCTCTGTATGGGAGTCCTTGTTCAAAATAGATCCATCTGAAAAGCTCCTCCTGCTTATTTCCATTGATCTCCGACCATTATTCTCCGTTGAATCAGAAGGGATGGATATTGCAGAACACTTATTTTGAGGGCCATCTCTCGGCAAAAGGAGGACTACTGTCTTGTGCTGTTCAGGCCAATCATGATCATCAACATTATGACCCTGTACTTGCAACTTCTCTAGCCCCTTAGAATCTCCATCTGGAATTTTCATCTTTCCTTTTGAACTTGAAGCCACCCCATAATAATTAAAATTCTGGAATTCTTGTGTCTGGGGAATGCTCCGTGGGTCTGAGTCTTTACTCTTGCATTCTTTAAGCCCGTTACCAGAAGGGTTTTTGTTAGCAGACTGACATGTTCTGAGGACACTTTTCTGCCCCTTCAGGTGGTTACGTGAAGCAGCATCGAGACCTGGAAACATTTCCACACTTCCCACCAAGGGTTTGACACCTTCAGGACAGCCGTCAGTGGGAGATGCATTCATATGTGATTGGAGTGTTGTCTGGTGCATCCCTTGACGAGAAGGAGAGCAGCTGAGACCCCGGCTAGAATGTGAAGACGATCCTTCTGTGGAGAAAATTGAGGAGCTATTATTGCTGGATAGTGAACACCTCCTACTTCTGTTGGGAGCCTGTTTCTGGTTATGCTGCCACTTCTCTAAACGGCGCCAGTCAAGGACCCCAACATTGAAAGCTTTCTCCTGGATGTTTCCTCTCTCCAGATAACTTGGCAAATTCGACATGTATTTCACAAGCTCGTCATTCTCATTTACATTCTTTGAAATTTGATTTTTTTTGTCAAACCCGGAAGATGACGAGGGAATACTGTCTACAATTTTTGTGACCACAGGATGGAGATCAGCGTAAGACCAGTCATGCTTATCAAGTCTCAACCTGTCTCGCAACTTCGTACTTTGTCTTGATTTAGGTGAGGAGGGACTACTCACGCTTGATGTACTTTGCCGATCCCTTGCGTTTTTCTTAGTCCCTAAATGATCTTCCATTTGTGGTTAAGGTGTTATAATTCAAGCCGCATATCAGATTGACCCAATGTTAGACTCAGGTAAACTTGCAATCTACTTGTTTTCAGGTCCAGCGGAAGGTTGCAATGAAGATTGCTGATTATATTCAGTTGGATACATCCCCTGTTGAAAGCAAAAGGCCAAACTGAAAGCTGTCACGAGATAATAAAATGATTACGTATATCTCATCAGCAATTGGAAATCGTTATAGTTATTTTCATGCCAAGGGAAAGGCTTCAGATTTTTTAAATCAGGAATGAAACCAAATAGATGTTGCATGATGTTCAATTATATCACATGATACATACAAGATCTATTTCTCTTTTTCAATTTCCATCGAAGAACAAGAAAATAAGTCTAAGCAGGATTTAAGTCAATAAGAGCTCCAGAAAAAAAAGGTCATAATTCTCTCAGCATCCTCAGAGACTTTTGCCAACCCTGCCTTCCCCTTCGGTTAACCAACACGATCATAGGCTACATTAGCACCACTTGGACAGTTATCAGTCATGTATTTAAAATTGGTATGACAAGATTCATACTGACACTCTGCTTTCCAATAATGTATAAAGAGAAGCCAGCAAAAGCATAAGACAATAGCATATTCTTCTTTCCATCAATATGTTTGAGCACAAATATACATTGATGCCCTTGACTTTCAAAGAAAATATGTCACTATAATTTTTGTCTCTCATTTTTAATTAGAATAAGAGAGTTATTGAATGAAGAAAATGGGTATACAGAAAGAGAGAGGAGGAGATCTCCTCTCACAGAAAGAACATACTGTATAGTGGAAGGGAAAATGTACAAGAATAAGGTTAAAAATTGGAAAGAAATTATTTGCAACATTGAAGAGCTTGCAAAGTTTTGCAGGAAGAGCTTCATTTTTTCAAAGAGTGTCGCCTTCTAAATCCACAACTGAGGGAACAACAGAAATCCTCAATAGTTAAGTGACAAATTTTGTTACTCAGGCAACTTCGCACCAAGGATATAATGCCATCCTACTGCAGCAGGGTTGATATTCACTGTATTTTGTGCTAATCTTATCCTGAAGATCAGGGGCGGAAGCAGGCTTCTTTCTCAGTGGGGGCACCGTAAAATGTAATAATAATATTTCATTAATTCACAAAAAATAACTGCATAAAAAAAGCAATGTAAAAAAATCAGAAAAAAAAAATGTCAATTAAGACCATCCAAATACACCCATCTCTCAGAATTAAATTTTTTTATGTACTCCTCGTTATCCATTTTTCTAAGAGATTGATCATTGTGCATAATATTCTAAAGAAATTGATACACAATCGGATCGAGTCATCATATTTCAATTCAAATCCAAATTATCAAAGCTCTAATGTCTATTGTTAGCAAAAAAAAAAAATGTATGAACAATACAAACCTTATTTATAACGCAACAAAAATGCAAAAACTAACGAAATCAAATAAATTATTTATGTATTATCTCTGACAAATGCCCTGATAAAATCTCAAAAACTCTCATTTTTTTTACTATCTACTCAATTATTTGTTTGGGTGATCCAACAAACTCATTTATCATCTAAATTTACTAAGGCTAAATACTCCCTTACTTCTACATTAATTTTGTAACATATTGACCATATAAAATTATGACTTGTGAGCATTACGAATAGTTAGAGAGATTTATCCAAATATGAAAAATGGAAGCCATTGACGAAAAGTGATCGAGTTTGATCCAAACCAAACCATTTTTGGTGATCGAGTTTGACGCAAATCAAACCCTTTTTTTGGCGTATTCCTTAATCTAGTCATCCATGCAACTTTGGTGGGAGTTAATCAAATTGTGATTTCATTTGATATGTTGGATTCAAGAGGAAAGTCATATACGAGTAGGATGGCTTTGTTTCAATTGATACGTTGGATTCAATAGTTGAACAGAGTTATCAAATTCACTAGTGGCCAACACATGGGCCCTACTAAACCTGTATGTCTACCAAAATACAAAATAGTAGAGACCCACCCACAATTTATATACATAAATACCCCTAAATCTTCTGAAAAATTTCAGTAGGGGCAGCTAGATCCGCCCCTGCTGAAGATCATCTGCATCTATTCTTCCATTTTCCCTTTTCATCTAAAGTTTGGAATCCTATTATGAATAAATTCGACTCATCTATTACATCAACATTATTATGGGAAGATTTGATTGCTAAAGCTTCTGCTGACTGGAACAGAAAAACACTGCAGAATTCAGTGGCAAAACTTATGTTATCTGCATCTATATACTGCATTTGGCAGTAAAAAGAATTCCAGACACTTTTACAATAAGTTCAAAAAGTCCTGATACACTATCACATTTGATTCTAAACATGATCAATCAAGGTCAGATTGTCTTGGGTGAAGATTCAGCTCTCTGCTAGGGATAGAAGAATTTTGCAGGTGTGTGATTTGCTGTGACAGGTGTCTTGCTGCTTAAACAGAGAGTTCTCTGATAGTTTGTGCTGTTTTGATGGGGTATTGATCAGTTGTTTGGTGCAGCAGATGGTGGTTTTCCGTAGCTGGAGAAGTATGGTAAAGGGCAAAGCATGTTGGCAAGACAAGAAGAAAAATGTTATGATTTGTTTGGCTAAATCTATGCATGTTTTCTGTTTAGATATAAAATTTCAACTTAGTGTGTGTTTGCAATCCAAAGTTATTATTGTTTCCTTAGCAAGTAGAGCAAGACTATCCCACTGCCAAAACATGAAAATGCAGAAAATAATTTTCCATTCCGAAATCATTTTCCAAACATTTTTAGTTGCACTAGCTAGTTCTTCAAAGCTTCAGAGCACAAAAAATAATAATAAAAAAAGTTACAAACTTCAGCACCTCATGGTCTGATGGCTGGAATTTTTTGCGGATTCCTCATCAAAGACCTTTTGCTTCAACTAAGGATGGAAAGGTACAACAAAGTGCCCCCCCCCCCCTCCTACACACACACAACAACAACAGAGGCAATGGGGAACCAAACCACCTAGCAATTCTAAAGTTATACTTCTCTTTCCACTTTCCTATACTGAATCAGTAGACAGCGTTAAATCATAATTTAAACAACTCAATCAAACTAAGAATGCCAGATAAATCTCAATGATATATATGCCATGGTACAACTAGTAAATAAGCCAAACAACAAGCTGGAAGTGGGAATCGAGTGGTCCTTAGATACTCATTTGAATGAGTGAAGAAGATAAGGTAAAATGGACTGTCCTCATCAAAGCTGGAAGAGTGTGGTAAAAGACAAGATCCCCAGAGATTCGAAAGCAGAGCGCCCTCATAATTTAAAATTTGGACATTGACCTTTTGATTGGATCCCGGGAAAGCAAAAGAAAATAAAGGAAAAAAGAAAAAAAAAAACTTTGAGCATTCATTTCCTTTTCCTTTTCCTTATCCTTTCATGAAAAGCAGTTCTTTTCTCCTCCTTTTCTTCACATTTCCTGCGAACCAAACAGAGTGGCAAAGAAATAGCCATTGATATTTACCCCCTCTCTGTACCATTTTTCAGTCTCTCTACCATTATAATTGGTCACGAATGTAAGTCTTATGCTTGCTACGAAAGCGTAGCAAGTTTTTTGCTTACAAAACGAACTTAATTTTCACTCTTTAAATCAAAGATCTCTATGATTTCTGCCATCTAAAGCGCAATAATTGCTTCCAATATGCCAGCCAAACAGACCTTTAGTAATCAAAATACAAGGCAAGAACGACATCCACAAAACTTATACCAAAACAAACGAAAATCCAGACATAGAACAGAGCACATACCAGAAGAAATCGTGAAAATGCAGAAGAAACGGCTCTCATTATCGGCCTTGAAGACGAAGTAACAAGTGTCGGTGGCTCAGATGTTGTTGATCCCAAAAAACACCAACCGAACAATGATCAAAAGCCGAGGTAGAGAGAGTTTGTAAAGATCAAAAGAATAGAGAGAGAGAGAGAGAGAGAGAGAGAGAAGAGATCTTCTCGCAGTATTCCAATTGGCTTTGCCTTTTTTTTTTTCCCCTTACTCCCCAAACTCCAAAGCTCTGAATATGCGGAATCATATACAATAATAGAGAGAGAGAGAGTGTGTGTGTCCTTTCGTTGGAGCTCATTTGTTTTCTGGGGGTACTGTCAGCCGATTACAGATAGAGAGAAGATAAGTATCAAAAAAAAAAAAAAAACAGATAGAGAGAAGATCGGACGGCTAAAAAAGAAAGAAGGCTTTCGCGGGTGGTCATATCGAGGAAGTCTCATTATAGGTCGGCAAATTTCTTATGTAAAATACTATTTCCACCTAATTTATACTTTAATTTGCTTATCACATTCATTAAATTAATAATTTAAGAAATAAATCTCAATAGATACTGATATTTATTATCAATTTAATAATTATGATGCATTTTGTCCCAAACAAAAAAATAATTATGATGCATTAAGTCAATATATAAATTAAATATAATTAGTAATATTTTTTCAAATTTATAAAACAAAATTACATTTTACCACCCAAAATCTTTTAAAATTGTTTATCTAACTTTTTTAAGTAGTATCATGAAAGAAGAAAAGAATAAATTAACAAAATACACGAATTATAATTCTATGTATCGCACGTGAAGGACCACTACTAAGTACATAAAATAAACTCCACTTTTTTAAGTAGTTATCTTTTTATGTGAGATAATGTGTCTGTTTATAATTAACTTAAATAAGTAATTTTTAAGGATTTTGGAGTAAAATAAGTCAAGTATATTTGGAACTTGATTTTTTTTATTAGCTTGTGTAACAGTTTTTTGAATCAAAAAAGACTTAATTATGCTGATTCAATAAATTAATTTTTTGAGCTTTTTTTTTGACTTATTAGAGTTTTATCATGATTCTTACATAATTTTTTTAATTTATTATATTCATAAAGTATTGTTAGTGATTTAAAAAAAATTAAAATTCATATTTTGAGAATTATTATGTATAATTTATATATATATATGCAATTAATTTTTTATTTTGACACAAAAAAAAAAACTAAAAAAGATAGAAATTACTTTAAACAAATTTTTTTAATATTTTCAAGCGCACCCTAAATACTGACTTTTTAACAAAACTCTCCAACCTGTAACTTTTCACTCAAAAAAAGTCAAATCCAAATAACTATTTTATTCAATAAA